ACTCTCTGCTTGCTTTGGCTTGATTCAAAGCGGTAAGCTTGTAATAATGTTTTTAATTCCAGTGGTACTGGTGGATTTCGTACTGGGAGATTCGAGCATGTCTTTGTGTCATTACGTCACATCTGTACACATAAAGAAGGAGTCCCAGATAGTATAAGATATATCGTGTGTGAGGATTTAACTTATCAATTTGATGGCGGATCTAGAAAGGTTCAAACGACAATTACCAGTGACAACAGATTCACATCTGTAAATTGCAAAAGACTTCATTCGGATTTCAGAGTGGCTACAGAAAAAAGAGACTGCAACCGGCCCATGCGAAAACAAGGATAATATAGTAAGGGCATTACATGTAGTCACGCAATGCTGACGTTGTTAACATTAACAATTTGAGAAGAACAAAGTTTGCACGGTTTTGCGTGATATAATATGCGATTCAGCGTGATTTACTGCAATGTCAGAACCACAACAAACGTGGATGTTATTTGTTCAGATTACATTTTCCTGTGAAAATTGTTATGTTGGTCATACTTCCAAAATGAATAATCTGTGATTCTTGACTGACAGCAGCACAGTCTCCTCAAACATTGTGTTCATCCACGCTGTGCGTGTCGAAGTACAACTCGCGTAAAGTTGATAATTCAGCGAATGACTGCAATTGCAGATTTCGAACAGAGATGGCGACAGAGGAAAAACTAAGAGGATGAACTAACAATTAGCAATATATTTGTAACAGTTTTTTTTAAACTTTGTTAATGTTAGTTAATAAAAGTAGTTTTTCATTGTTTGTTCATGTTAGTTTAGAGGGCATTAACTAATGTTATTACATGGCTTGGTTGAAATCTAATGGCGTTTAGATTTCAACTGTTATTTCTTGATAACAGTATAACACACCGTTAACATAAACCGAAAACAGAGCGTTGCAATGGACAGAGTTATGTTCACTCTGCGGCAATAGGCTCTATGCACGATCGCTTCCGTGTTTGTTATCCGGTGCTGCGTCAGAAGCCGGTTTTGCATTAGGTGGAGATCATGTTTAATTTGGACTTCTCTATGCATGCTCTTTGAGGAAGACCCCATAGACCTCCATTATATGACTGACAGACAAAAACGGTTTGACCTAAAAATATCAAAAGTAAAAAATACTGTGGAAACAGACACCTACATCTTGGATGCAATTGATGTAAGCTAAAACATATCAGAAATTAATTTCAAAGTGAACTATCCCTTTCATAAATAAATTAAGAATGAACAAAAGTAGGCCTATTGTTCATTCTTAGTTCATGTTAACTTAGGTAGTTAATGAACCTTATTGTAAAGTGTTACACATTTTATTGTTTTGTCTTATTGTGTTATTACTTGTGATGTGTTTGACAGTACACATTTTTTCTACCAAATACACAATTTGATCAGTTGATCACAACAATCAAAAATGATCAAAATGATTTTTATTTTTTTTTTTTATTTTAGGGATCTGGCCTTTAAAAAGGTCAAAGTATGAAATGTTGTAATCATTCTCACCTAATATTGGTCCCACCCAGTACACAAAACCATACGCTGCAAAAGTATTTCCAGGACAGGGGAACTGGATTGAGAATGCCAGTGCTGGGTTGAACACAGCTCCGGTGAAACGTCCACCTTTACAAAACACATAGTTTCCTGAACACAGTTGCACGGCAATTAACCGCATATGAATGTTACTAAAATGTCACTAGACAAGATCTGCGTGTTTTAAAGAACAGACAGACAGACAGACAGATAGTAGCTTAGTAGCCTGTGGTTGTCCTGAATAATTATTATATTTGAACCATAGTACCACTGTGGAATTTCGGATTAGTGCACACACCCGCATAGACTAAAGTGGTGATGACAGCAGCTATTGCATGAACCCGATATTTCTCCTCCACTTTGTCCAGGTTGGACCCCGCAGAGTGTATCACAAACGCGCAGCTCAGCTCCACCGCGGCGGCCTGTAGCAGAGGGGCATTAATAGGGCTGTTCGTGCATTTAAAGTCCATCAGTTTGTGCAGTTCATGCAGGTCTGAGAGCGCTAGTGACCACAGGCGAGGCATCACTAGCCGTGCCACCACAGCCGCGAGCAGTTGGCATGAGATCTGTGCCAATGCGCGTCTGCGCGTTAGAGTCCCGCGGAAGAGCTGCTCCAGAGAGCCGGTGGGGTTACAGATCGCACCGTGGAAAGAAAGCACGTGGATCACCGTGATGAGGTACGTGAGGGTCAGTCCGATCTGCGGCTCCAGTCTGCCCACTTCCGCCAGCAGCTTTAACTCGTGCGTGCACGCGCACAACTGAAAACTGGAAATAAACTCCAGCACATAGGTGATCCAGTTACGATTTGGGAATAGATATGAAGCTGTCCTTCTCGCCACCTCGCTAAAAACTACAATTCCCACCAGTAAGGCCAGAGAGACGGTGAGATAAGCCATCTCTGCCTCGCTACGAAAAATCCTGCCAAACTAACGTTAATCCTGTCAGGCAACTTTAGTATAGAGCGGTTCCGCCTCTGCGCCATTTATCCCGCCTACAATTCAATCTGTGCTGCTCATAGGGAGCAGCTACTATGGCAAAAGACTTGACTTATGAATATTAAATAGTTGCTCCGTTTATATTAATGATCCAACCTTTATTATCGTAAGGAAGCATTCGGATTTCATCAGCTGAGCGCCAACGTCAGAACGTCTTGTTACGTAAAATAATATGCACGACTCATATGGCAAGCCATTTTAGCATTTAAAGAGCCCTTTTCATAGCATTTGAAATGTTCCTATTTTTGTTTTAGTTCCCAGAAACAGTTTAACATGCATGCAAGGATAAAAAACACTTTATTTGTCTTATAATATGCATTTATTTTGAACTGATTTGCTCACCGACCCCCAAATGATTTGTACAACGACTCATTTTTCCAAACCACTCCTTGCGTGACGCTAATTGGCAGTGATTGGTCAGATGACAGACCCAGTCAGTTATTGTTCGTTAGCATAACTCATAAACATATTGATAAAGCACTGCAGTACTACAAGACGCTCTATTCTTTATGACAACTCCAATAACAGCGACAAACATTTCACATATTAAAAAAAATTGACATTGGAGACCTAGAAGCTGCGCTGAGCGTAACTTACCCACACGCACGCGCGCACACACATATTCCCTCCTCTCGCCCTGACGCTACAAAACCGTTCAAAACCCATAGGCCTAAAAGCAACAATTATTAATAATACTTACAGGTTTTGATTCGGAGGAGGAAGCTGATCCATATACACTGGGTAAGTAAGTTACTGAGCCCTCCTTCAGGAACAACCGCTTGTGAATCCACATTTTAATTAATTTATGTTTTTCATTTATGTCAATTCATTTCAAGATATCTATAACTTGATAATAGATATCTACAATTCAATTATGACTATCCCTAACTCCAGTTTGAAATATCTACAACACCATTTGACCAGTCATAATTCCAGTTACAGATATCTATGGCATTTGGCCTATTATGGCAAACATTTAATCATTTTAAACTACTAGTCTCTATTTTCATGCTAGTACTTATTTTTTAGATACTAGTATCTATTCCATTAAGTACTAGTACTTATTCATTAGCTACTAGTGCTTATTCTTTAGCCTATTCAAAACTTAATTTAAGATATCTGAAATGGAACATGTAGATATCTTGAACTGAGGTTAATTAAAGGTATCTTGAACCAGAGTTCTGACTAGTCAGAATCAAATTGTAGATATCTCAAACATATATACAATTCAGTTGCAGATATCCGTAATTCACATAGTGGATATCTCCAACTGAATTGTAGATATATGTAGATAAACCCATACAAATGAATGGCAAAAGTGATGTCATTTGTCCTATAGGAAGAATGTCTTTGTGGATATCTGAAATGACAATTATGGATAGGAAGAATATAGTTGCGGATATCTGAAATGTTCTTTTTGACTAGGTGAAAGTGAATTACAGATATCTGCAACACATATCCAGTCTAGCTGTTAAATGTTAAACTGGCTTGCCATACGACTCAATCCTCTATAGGATTTGAAAAGAACAATGTCCAGTGTTGCCAGAGGTTACAAGAATAAACAAGATAATAATATAATGCAAGATAAATAAATTGACCAGAAATTAACAAATATAGACTCCCCAAATCATTGTATGCCCTTTTAATCTAACAGAATATTATATTATTGAGACGGGCAGTTTTACTTAAGCTTCTTTATAATAATATAATAATAAGCTAGCCTATTTGAGGCAGGTTGAGGTTACGAGTGAGGTGAGGAGGTGCTCAGAGGTGTGCAGTGAAGTTTGATCAGTGGTGCAATAGGGCGCTCGCTTTGTGTCATTTCTTTCCAAACCTATGGCGCGTTTTCCTTGCCAAAATCAAACATTCGAACGTCTATTCGAACGTGTTGTACTTTTGAGCGTCCGACTCATAGGATACTTTACTTTTTGCAATAATCTTAAAAAAAGAAAAAAAAAAGAAAAAATAACAGATCCAGAAGGTTTGCATGAATATAAACATATATTTTTTTCTTCATATATTTCAGGTTTATATATATATTTGGATATATCTATAATACCCCTTAATATACTGTGTGTGTGTGTGTGTGTGTGTATATACATACATATATATATATATATATATATATCATGCACACATTTATGTTTTAAACCGTTGAGACCTGTGACCTGTGAATCTACAATTTAAAATATTTTCAGAACTTAAAAAGTACTACAATTTATTGCAATAATATTGTTACTGAAAGTTTTATATAGCATAATTGAAATAATTAATTTACTTTTTCAACAAATGTTACAAGTCCAAAAAAGTCTATAGTGTCATGCTGCTCTTCGGTCACTTTTGACCAAAAAAATACATTTTAAAAAACACAATAATACACAAACTAACTATAGGGCTACACACAGCATCATTGAGTCAGGAGACTGAAATAGGAGGTGGAAATGAGATCAGATCCAGGTGGATTAAGCTGTGATAAAAGATTTGCTTTTTATTTTTTTTATTTATTGAATTTTAATGTTACATGTAGCAACATGCTTTCCCTTCATTCAGGTTTGACTCACTGTAGTAATAATAAAACGTGTACACTTCATATCGAAATGTATTTTTTTATATAAACCTTGACGAAAGTATTATTTGAGAATACATTCAAATCCACAGCTTATGATCTCACCACAAGTGAGATCATTTAAAACCAACAGACCATTTTGAATGCTCATTTTGTTTGTGTACTGTAGCTTTGGTAGTTTGAATGACTCTGTTTGGCCTGTAGGGCATCAGTGCGAGCAGTTTCTTTCTTTTTTGTGATCGTTCAGGCCTGGCAAAGCGATCAAGCAAGGAATTTTAGTGACCTACGAGCAAAGGATGGTGGGCTAGATCTTGCTGGTGACTGCAGGTAAACCAGTGGGAGAGCTCATAGACCAGTTGTATGTTTTGATTTTGTTATTTGTTATCATGTAGGGTGGCTTTAGTTGGCATTTGCAGATGACATGGTGGATTGTCTTTACAGACCTTGGTTATTACAAACTTGAAACATAATTCAAATTTGTAATTAATTCCAGGTCAGATTCTCCTGGGCACTGCGCGAAGTATGGATCATACTCTCTGATAGAGGACAGAGTGAACAAGGTGGTGGATGTTCAGCTTGTTCAGGTAAACCTGATGTTATTAGACAAAGAAATGAACTGCAATTTGAAAACTGATTGTATCTTAATATAACATCTTTCCACTAGTACAACGAAGCATAGAGCTTTATTGTGTTGCCTAACTAGAATACAGTGTATCATAATTCCTGGACCAGCGACGCATTGGTTCATTCACGCCTCCTTCAACAACACCAGCATTCTACACTTACAGTGTTATGTCATGTTCCAGAGCTCAGAGGACCCCCAACCGCTCATGGTGTGAGATTTAAAGGGCTCAAGCGCAGTGTTGGCCTGCTGAGGGGAAAGGACCTGCATTTGGCAACGCTGATCACGGACCGTCATCGCCAGGTGTTTACAATAAAAATGCAGTATAGAATGTAAATATCTGAATTGCACTGAAGCTGGATGTTTGTGGTTTGCTGATGCACTGAGGGCCACACAGGTCAATCATCCACAAAAGTTTGTTTATTTCTCCTTAGGTTGCAAAATGGGTGAGAGGAGCTGAGCCCTGAAGGGACACAGCATTATTTTGATGTGTGGCACATTGCCAAAAACATGCATCCATTGTTGGAACCTTGAAGCAGTTTTTGTTAGTGCATATCAATTAATACCATTTTTTCTAAAACAGGTCTGGGGAAGGCCTTGGTTGCAGCTTCAAAAGAGTGTGACCAACTACAGTTGTGGAGGCCTGCTATAGTAAATCAATCACTGCTATTGGACACTGCAGCCTTAACCCCAGACGGCAAACCAGCGGTCATGGACGACGACAACGGTCAAATGGAGAAGTTTAGTCAACCACTTCCATGACCATGACACCCCTGCTTTCTCCAGTTGTTCCCATGGCCCTCTAGACGTGAATCAGCGCAACAAAGAGTGGCTGGACCCAAGTACAGTACACACAGTATGTGGTATTATGCACGCTCTACAGTTTTTTTTTTTGTATTTGCTGTCTGAGTGATTGTCTGGATGCTTTGACATGTGACCTTTGTGATTAAATTAATTTTTAATTCCCTGTCATCTCATAACATTCTGTTAACTGTTTGCTATAATTCATATGCAGGGCAATTTCATGTGTTTCCATTTAAAAAAAAATAATTTTGTTTGTCTATCTTCTTGTCTATTTATACATTTTCCATCTGTGTGTCTGTCTGCCTCCCTGTCTTGGACTTTGCAGGCTCATTGGCAGCAGTAAAGTTGGAGAACATAATCATGAGGACTGCCTTACTGAAAGATGTTCGACAGCTTTCTCCACAGCACCAGACCTTCTCCCTTGAGGCTTACCACTCCATCATCTTGCACTTCGAATTATACTGCCAATTATTATGCCTTTTATCGTAATAATAGTACCTATTATCATGCCTATTGTAGTATTTTGTCATACATACACCAAGTTTCAAAAAAAATCTCAAATGTGTTATTTTGTAGGCTTCTCTTAGTGGCGCTGCATTACAATCACAATGGAAACCGCGAGACATCATGGAGAACTGATTGGATGGAGAAGTACTGCGTGCGGTCTCCGCGCTTCACAAAAGATGCCCATGTGGTTCTATCATATTTTGACAGGATGAGACACAGGTGAATGCAATCAATGTATGAGGTACAGGTGAATTTGATCAGTGATGAGGAGTCCGGGCAGTAGGGTTGCCACCTTCAGTGAGGCAAAATAAGGGACACCCATACACGAGATAAATAAATAATTAAATTAAATTTTTAAAAAAAAAATGTGTCGTATGGAACTGATTATTTCAACATGCCAACTTGACAGCTCAACAATAAACCACGAGAAAAAATTAGATCAAGTATATGTGAGCTTGCAACAGAAAACATTTTATATTATTATTTTACATTTTATTATTTTACTCTTATTTACTTATATAAACTCTTCTGTAGCTATATGTTAGGGATTACAGAACCATTAATCATGTTTTGACAATTATGCATGGATTGTTCTTATTTACTAAAATTGATTTTGAATTTGACTTTGAAATTGTTATGTAATTGTCTATTTTTTATTTAAATAATGTAGCACTTTTAAAACTTTCTTTTAATTGCCATAAAGTGTGTATAACAGATAGGATCACAATTTAGTATGCATATATGATTAATATTTAATAATGCAAATTATAATGTTTAAATTTATTAATCTGTTTAATAACATTAACAAATAGGTTACCTGTCTACCAAGCTCTGTATATTAATATTATATATTTATTTTCCAAAGAAAAAAAAACAACAACAAAAAACCATAGGCCTATACCTTTAAAAGCAAGGATTGGTCTGTCACGGCCATAGGTCACGGCATGCTGCTTTGAGTCGCATGTTCTCTAGACTCATCATGGAAACAAAGACACTAAAATGCAACCACGGGCAAATTATTTACTCTACTTCTTGTGAAATTGATTCCATTATAATTAGGGTATTAGTATTATCTATAGCCTACTGTAAAATTCTTATTTGTTTATGTGTGGGTCTATGTAAAATTATGTCTGTTGATATGACTATTTGTATTATTGGTAAGAAAATCTATGTATTATTTATGTATTCAGACATAGGCTATTGTTAATTCTATTATAGCCTATGGAATTCTCTGGGTTTGTTAAGCAAGTTATTTTTCTCCACAACATTCACATTTTTATTATTAAATATGTATTTAATATCTATCTCTCTCTTATTTCTTATTATAACTTATTTAGGCTACTCATTTCCACTGACACTTTCCAGCGAAGTATTTGTTTCCTCACACCCTCGTCGTTACTTTTGCATACGCTTTCGTTTCAGAGGTGAACAAAACTCTATGGCTAAAGACCCGCCCTCTTCTGACTCTGATTGGCCCTGAACCTGATGGTGTTAAACAAACCAATCAAACCAACAATGGCAGCGCGTATTACCCAATCAAGGGTAGAATAGGACGCGTCTTCACAGAATGCGGGTGGCATGATTTGCATGGGATCATGCGTTCGGAAATACGGGACAAATCGCGTCCCGTATTGATTCAAAACGGGACGCGCTTTTTATTTCACAAATACGGGACGATTCCGTATTTTAAGGGACGGGTGGCAACCCTACCGGGCAGTGAGTTCTGGGAAATGTAGTTTGTGAGTGAAACATGAACATCTGGTGTGGAGTGCCCTCTGGTGACTCTCAAGGGCACTCCACCTGGTGACCGTTACAAGTATCTGCAAAGTTACAGCGCTGAAAGTTTAGTGTAAGCAGAGATATCGTCTTTAAAAATCAGGAAGTATATTGCCTACAAAAACGACTTGATTGGGACTACAGCTGAGTTTTAGACGTCACTAACCCATACATTTGCATCAACCCCTCCCTCCGGAATATGCAAAAAAGGGCATGCGCATATTTCTGCGGCTCGTCGAGTGTGTTATGTTCACCCAGCTGACAAGTCTTCTGTGTTCGAGCTTCCCACGGACGCTGTACTTCGTCAACAATGGATACAATTTATTTTTGATTATGTTCCTGAAAATGACGATCGTAATCTAGCTCTCTGTGCTGCGCATTTTACGGAAGACAGCTTCCAGAATCTCCACGAATTCAATGCCGGCTTCAACAAGAAACTGTTACTAAAACATGAAGCGGTTCCAACTTTAAAACCAGAGGCAGCAGTTGTTGGGCCACAACCTGTAAGTAGGCTAAGACTTAAAGGTGCATTGCGCAACATTTCATGTTAAAAATAGCCGTTTTCTAACCTATACATGCTTAAACAATCGCCTGATGGGCTGAATGAGCCTAAGATAAATAAGAGGGATTCGGGCTCGAATCTGAGACTGGCAGTGACGTCATGCGCGTTCACGCTCGCCTGGCTATGTGCCTGTCTTGCAGGTAGTGTATTCGCCACCATTCTCCGTATCAGAGAAGACAACTCGAGCGACACAACTTTAGTCAACTTTCCACAAAAGTAGAAGATGGATTCAAAGGAGCTGTTTAGCCTACACCTGGTCACTTCATGCGTTTTCTGTGATCGGATAGCTTATTCGATCGTGAAAAGACCAGGTTGCCCTCCGAAATGCATTCGAGACGGATTTGAATCGATTGCTCAAATCACTTGAGGACGTGGTCTGGGCCGTATTCCAGACAAAACTGGACAAGTGTAAATGCATCTGGTTGTTGAAAGCAGGCTATAGGTTGTCATGTTATTTTAGTCATATATGACGACGCGCATCACCTCAGATGAGCAGCTGAGCAAAAGATCTACAGACACGCTTGGCAAAAGATCTACAGAACTCAAACATAAGATCTGCGGATCGATGCATTTATTTACGGGTTGAGCTGAGTGGCTGCACAGTTTGACCAGCGGGCGGCAAGAACTTGCAATAACTATATCAGACCGGCCCTCGCAGCCTCGAAACTATAGAAACACTACCGGACCACCGGTAAAAGTCCCAACTCACCCGATTGCCACTCCGCCCCTGCACGCCATTAAAAAATATAGCCTATATGAATAGATTTTTGGAATTCTATGAATCGATTCTGAATCGGTAAAGATTGAATCGCGATTCAAATGTGAATCGATTTTTTTGCACACCCCTACTATATAGCGCGGGAATTGAAGATCAGATTATACAACATGACATCATGACTTTTGAGTCAGGTGGCGTGTTATCTCTACGCATTTTGAGCTATCCGCGTGTATGCGTGTATGTCTACGCCATTAATAACCGAGTCATTCCGCGTGTCTGTACACGCAGTTAAATCTCCAGTCATAAATGCCATTAACCCCAGTGACGGTTAAGTTTAGGGATGGGGTTGAGGTAAGTCATATCTTTTTTTTACCTAGGATGGTGAGGGAACAGTGATAAATGCCATTAACCCCAGTGACGGTTAGGTTTAGGGACGGGGTTGAGGTAAGTCATATATTTATATAACGTAAGGTCAACGGCGTTCATAAACACGCTGAAAGGCGATTATGCGTCTTGATAGCACGGCAAAAATGGAAATAAGAATTGGCGTGGCATACACACGCTACTTCATGAGATCAGTCTGGATTATATCCGTTTTGCAAAAACAAATTTATGTGAGCGGTGTAATGAAATCGTTTTGATAAATCAGATTGCTATCCGATCTGAGAAAACACATTGTGGCCAGGTGTAAACAGCCCCAAAGAGACCGGCTTGTAGTTCATTCCAAACCACAACGCAAACGCCACGTGAGACAAAGAAAATACAACTTCTGTCTGTCCAGTGCCAGTCGTCGGAATAAGACGAGAGTCAACATCGGGAAGCTTTCAACAAACTGAGAGATCTCCGGTCTGCTCTAGGGCTCAAACGGGTCCTATACAACAGTGTTTCCCAACCCTGTTCCTGGCGGCACACCAACACTGCGTGTATTCTTTGTCTCCCTTATCAAACACACCTGATTCAACCCATCAGCTAATAATCAGGTGGGTTAATGAGCTGATGGGTTGAATCGGGTGTGTTTGATTAGGGAGACAAAGAAAACACGCAGTGTTGGTGTGCCGCCAGGAACAGGGTTGGGAAACACTGCTATACAAAGTAATAACTTATATTGTTCATGAACATGTTTCCATAATTATACAATCATACGGGTACAGTAAGCACATAAAACAGTTCAATATGGAGATAGATAGAAACAAAAACCGAAGTTTTCTACTACCCCTGTTTTCCCCTCACACACACATAAGTGTGTACTCGAATGCCTTTCCTTTCATATATTTTAAATGACCTGCAGATTTATAACTGTATTACCTCATTATGACTGTAACAAAAGATGTGTGCCGCACAGTGTGCGGCTGATGCTCCTTTGGTTATGAACAGCTCGTGCAAACGTACGTGATGTGTGTGTGAGCGCGCACGCAGTTTCACTTGTCGCCAGAGGGGACGTAGTTCTGCAAAAACTCAAATACTTGCGTTTAGCTCCTTTAATCATTTTAAATGTATGTATAATTCCAGGCGTAGCCTTGTGTTTTATTTTTTCAAATGCCAGCGCTGGCTTTATAGCCACTAGGCTACTAGTTATGCTATTTTGTGTCTACGACCACCGCGTACAAACATTATGGACCTGAATTTTGTATAAGTACTAATGTTTTAAACGTATTTTTCATGTATATGCTTTATGACGTTATTTTAGATTTGATCAAGAACGTAAACTAATGCCAACACTGTTTGTGTTTAACATTAGTAGTCAGTCAGTTGCTGTTGTTGCCAGTCAGATGCTATTGTGTTAAACAAACGTGTATAAAGTTAAAAAAATGCAGCAAATTATCATTCAGAAACGTTTAGTAAGAGCCGTGTGTGGTGAGGTTCTGCTTGACTCTCAGACCTTAGTTTCAATAATCATGTCAAACAATAACTAAATCAGCATACTATCATCTGAAAAATATTGCAAGAATTAGATGCTTTGTTTCCAGTCAAGAGAAATTTGTGCATGCTTTCATCACCAGCAGGGTGGATTACTGTAATGGCCTCCTCACTGGCCTTCCTAAAAAGACCATAAGACAGTTGCAGCTCATACAGAACGCTGCTGCCAGGATTCTGAGCAGGACCAGAAAATATGAACATATCACACCAGTCCTCCTCAGGTCTTTACACTGGCTGCCAGTTACATTTAGGATTGATTTTAAAGTATTATTACTGGTATATGAATCATTTAATGGGTTAGGACCTCAATATATTGCAGATATGCTCACTGAATATAAACCCAACAGATCGCTCAGATCATTAGGATCACATCAGCTAGAAATACCGAGGGTTCACTCTAAGCATGGAGAGTCTGCTTTTAGCTATTATGCCAGCCGCAGCTGGAACCAGCTTCCAGAAGAGATCAGGTGTGCTCCTACAGTAGTCACATTCAAATCCAGACTCAAAACATCTGTTTAGCTGTGCATTTACTAAATGAGCACTGTGCCACTGTTCGTCCGACTATTACAGTACTTCAT